GTACCTGTAAATTTGTTAATTTACCATATGTTATTAAATATTATTACACTATGAAACATGAATGAGAGAAATATATGGTACTTTCTAGGCGAAGTGTGAGGACTACTTGGCGAGACTTGACAAAATTAATCGCACTAAACTGGAGGAAAAGAGCCAACTGAACTATGACGTCACGCATGAATTTTTAAAGGCATTTGTCAGCGGTTACGATTGGCACTTGTAAGTATTACCTGCTGGGGTTGGAATCGGCAGGGGTATGGGAGTTCTTTCTCACCCCGCCACTGAATTAGTTGTTAAGATTAAATTATTCTCTCTCTCTCTCTTCTCTCTCTCTCTCTCTCTCTCTCCGATCCGCCATCGAAATAGTATTTCAGCATAAAGAATAGAATTTTGCGGCGACGACAATATTCTTGTGAGCAGGGGGACGTCACAAGTGCACCCTTCTTGACCACTCCCCTCCTATCAATTTCTTTTCCCGTCTTCCTTCGACCTGCCATTGATTCCGATGATTTGCACTTAATGATTGAAAGGATGACATTGTCCTTGTATCCTGTTAACTTCAAGGAATCTTAATTTCTAAAAAAAGTAGAAAAAAACATTGAGCCATAACAAATAACACAAATAACTTGAAATGATTTTAAAAAGCAGTGGCTTAATCATAACCATTAACAAATGTAAAAAATTATTATATTTAACATAAATAATTAACTTAATGTATATTTTTGTTTTTAGGTACAATTCCCTGACCCCAATTAACTTCCTTGAAGGCCCACATATCGACTGGGACACTTTTATAGAATTTATACCTTTCAAAACGAAGGAGAATTATGAGAGTTATCTCCAGCGATTACAACTTCTTCCCAGTCGCCTAGAGCAGATAGTGGTGCTGATGAGGAGGGCCATTGAACTGAACAGGACTAACCATAATGTCTCCATGGTAACATAAATACAGTAATAGCAGAATTTGTAAAGACTGCTGTTAAAATACATAGTTCACCTGAAATCTAGTATATCACAGCCACTTACTGTCAATAATGCTGTGAATAGCTTAATTAATTAATATTATAGCATAAATTGCATTAACACATGTATAATTCAACATACTACATATGTAAACATATATATTTGTATATCCATATATATTGTGTAAATATTGTAGTCTAGAGAGCCTGCAAATGTATTCACATCATTTAGTGCTCAATAAACTTATTATTATTATAAATAAGTTATCATAATGATGCATGTATAAAGATTTACTAAAATATATAGTATTCTACCCAAGATTTCGACCCCCAGGCCATCTTTGGGGATTTGAAAATAGAAGATTCTCATAGATGCATCGTTATAATAGTTTATTTATTTCTTAAAGATCTCCATGGTAACATGTTTACACTTTTTGAATAACGCCATAATTGGGTGTAGGGAGTTTGAGGATTAACGGCGTGATATATTGTATACGATTGTTTGCTGCACGATGAGACATGCCATGGTGTTTTTTAGGGATGAGTTTTTACTTTTAAAACTGTCCCTCTTGATTCATTGTGCCTTCCCTTTTACACCGATTTTTTTTTATTTTGCTAGCCATATTTAACAAGATCTCTGTAAAACTAGACTAAAGAAGTATCCCTTAAAACACACTGTTATTCTTCGACATATAATGATGTTATTTCTATACCACTATTGTAACTCAAGTTGTATTTTTTACTGTAGGATAGGATTCCGGGACAAATAGCGGACACCATTACAAACTTGGCGGCCAATGAAACTAAATTTTACAGTCCATTCCTGGACCAACTGGCCAGCCTTTCTTTCTCAACAAATGACACGTAAGTACCAATACTTTTTATATAAAAGGCATATAATGAATGATAGATCTTTTTAAACAAATAAGTGTCCTGGAAGTTAAACATTATCCCTTAATAACCATGGTGTAGGTATATACTCTACCAAGTTTTTTTCAAATTGCAATCTGTAAACGCTCTTTAGTGGTCTAATTTATTTATTTATTTATTTGTGTTGTTGCTGTCTTATTGAAGATGGAAATTGATAATTTTTTGGTATGACCCTGAAATATAAGAAGTACAGGTATATAGACCATGTGCTTAACCAATAGTCTTAAAACAAAGAAATTAATCATTTCATCGTATTACCAACAAAATATGTAAATATCAAGGTCATCTCAGCCCAGTGCTTATCGGTCGGTTTTTAGCTATTTCTGTTAATCCAGTTTGTGCAAAAAATATTACATACTGCCTAGCGTTGAAATCGTCATAACTTTTATAATCCATAAAGGTGCATTTTACGACTGATAAAGCTGAACTTGAAGAAAGTCCGTATAAAAATGTAGAATACATACATCCTCTTGAAGTCAATACATTTATTTCTACTCAAAAACATACTGAAACTGATTTTAAAGCTACATCTCTGTTGTTTAGACGACTGTTACAATAAAAAAGATAATCATTATATGGTCGTAGCTTATCACAATATCTTAAAGGAGTTTATAAAGAAATGATGGATGGAATTATTAAATTATCTGTTATCTGAAAAATTAAACAAAGTACACTCATAGAAACATAAAATAGCTAATAGATAATGAAATTATAGAAGAGTTAAAATGAATCAAGCAAGTGAAAAAAAGAGCAACTCTGACAAATAGAGGATCTCTGTCCACTTTCGCCCTTCACCCATTTCGGTATTCAGGCTTGGCAGACTCAGTCACTTAAGTTATAAACACATACCGTTTTAAAAAATCACATATTTTTCACAAATCCACAACGATATAATATAGCATGTTATTTGTTGGTTTATTTGCCGTAGAGACCAACTGCGAAGTAGAGGACTTGACGTCATTCGGAACAAAGTCCAACCAGCCTACGCAAACCTGTCAGATTTTATTACTAACGTAAGTTGATAAGCACGGATAATAAATAAGCCGTAAAAAGTTCCAACTGTTCCTGAATATTTTTATGTAGATGCTGCAGTAAAAATAAAAAATAAATAATACAGATTTATTATCTTGATATATATAGTATTCTATTTTCATTCAAGGAATATCTCCCTAATTCCCGAATTGGTTTAGGAGTGAGCAGCCTTGACAGAGGGTCAGAGTACTACAAGGCGTGTCTTAAGTGGCACGTGACCACTGATCTTAGCCCAGAAGAAGTGCACGAGAAGGGGTGGAATGAAATACGTAGGATTTCCACAGAGATGAAAAAGGTGGGGATTGACTTGCTGAAGTTAAGCCAATCAAATCAGTGTGTAATAGAAGTTTCATTCCGCCGTATCAAGAAGAAATTGATTTGCTGAAAAACAGTCAATCAGAACCAGACAAAATTTAACTGCTGAAATGTTCAGAACATGAATATTGCCGAATGTGTTATAATGTATTATACTTTTGGTATATTTTCTTGTCAATCACCTTGTGATTTTTTTTATTTCAGATTCTTGCCAAACTGGGATTCTCAGGGTCAATTCGTGAATTCGTTGACACCTTGAAAAATGATACAAGATTTTTCTACAATACCTCAGTAAGTTTGCAATCGCCAACAAGAAAAATGTATCTGTAACAAGCATACTATGACGTCACAATGTCCTACAAAGAATGTAAACACAAACATATATTTAAAACGTGAAGCAGTGAAAATGCTATTTTGCCATGGAAATTTCTTAACCGTTACTAAAAAGAGTATTGGTTTAAATTTTTTTAAACTAATTACAAAATGTACCTGATTACAAATGCATAAATATGCTTGTTCTATAACCCTTTTAATTATTTTGAATGATTCTAATACCGTCTGACCACTAGTTCAGATGTTTTTTTGCATTTGTAGGAGCAGTTGTTAGCAGAATATAAGAAGATAGCGAATGAGTTGATACCGCCGCAGCTACCTAAGGTTTTCAAAGATATTCCGCATATCCCATTTGAGTGAGTATTAAAAAAATAGTAATAAATTAAGAGGTCCGTAGCTTAAACACATTGAAATGGTGGTACCGGTCTCAAAGTATTTTGGAAATTGGAATTTTTCTGTATTTTACATACACACATTTATATTATTCACTTTTTACATTGTCAAATTTTGTTAATCCTTGATATACAATTTACCACATATTCTGTATCATTAAGTGTTCGTCCAATGGCATTTGATGGACCAGATGGGCAGTATTTCTTGTTTCAAGAAGGGGACACATATGGCCCAGGGTACTTTGAGGTCAATCTCAGGAACCCCAAAACGAGGTTAGTTTCCCATATTTCACAGTCATTTCTGCAACGGTAGTAGTTGGTATACGTCTATTCCATAGGCGACATCTAATGTTAATTAAGCTTTATCTACTGATCCCATAGTGCAGTCACATCTTACATATAGTTGTTTCTGTAAAGGTTACAGCTTCGGAGAAAAAATAGTTAAATTGACAAAAAGATATATTAATATTTGTTTAGTAGTAACTTCCCAACATTTATATTTGTCCAGCCGACATGTTAAGACGACCATAATGCCGATCTATAAGAAAAAATGTTTATACTGTGGTGGCCAGCATGAATTAGTCTTGAGCTATAGTGGACAGGGGTTTATATTACTATAAGTCGCTGTTCCATTTTGTTATTCTCTCTCTCTCTCTCTCTCTCTCTCTCTCTCTCTCTCTCTCTCTGGTGCTGTAAGCGACACTGGCATCTTTAGGTACATGTAGTTGTCGGTTTTGAGTTTATGCTTACATTTTCCCCAGATTGACACCTGAAATGGTAGCATTGACATTACACGAGCTGGAGCCGGGACACCATTTCCAGGTGACTGAAACCTTTATACCACTATAGTAATATACGACAGTGTGCGTATACACGTGCATGTGTGTAAGATTTGGAAAAACTACAATTGAAAAATAGGCGTTTAAAAATGAAAGGCGACCAAGATATCAATATTCATTTTATGATGATGATATTGGACAATGACCTTAGTTCGGTGTATCCTCTATCTTAGAGACCAGCTTCGTCGAAATAATGCATTCAAAATAATTTCTCAGAAATTGTGATCAGATACTTTTTTGAAATTGCGTTCCATCCAAACAATACCCATCAACAGTTTCATTGGTTTTTAAGACACCGTCGCGGTCTTGAATTTTTATATTTTGAAGCTGACAACACAGTTTAAAACACGACATATTTAATGTGAATATAATACAAATGGTTTTCAAACTCGCTTTGTGAAGAAATAACATTATAACTTTGCCTGCCACTATCTGTATCCCGTCGATCGTTTTCCTCATATCTTAATTATTATTTTACTCTGTAGACAGTGTACCAAGTCACGGAGAATCTGCCGACGTACAGGAAGAATACAGAGTATTCCAAATACTACGCCGTCCCCTTTAACTTTCCGTTCCACACAGCATATACAGAGGTAAGGTAAAGAATTACGTACGCCAACGGATATGTGATAAATAGGTGTTTTGAAAGGAAGCATTTCTCTTGTTTTGATTTGGCTTTGGCTTTTTATCAATAGGAATTCCCTCAAAAGTATTTGTACTTTTCTACTTTGACAGACGTCTTCATAATGTCAACGTAGCGATATTGGTGTACAACAACACTTTACAAAGCAATTATCTCTCTGTATACATACGTAGGTGACAAGGATAAATGTATAACTTTTATATTTGGATTTATAACACGGCGTGGCATTTCGCGCCTGAAAAATACAAAATGGGCCCTATCTGATTAAAATATTGCTTTTGTATCCTGCAGGGTTGGGCACTTTATGCGGAAGCTTTGGGAGAGGAAATGGGTGTCTATAGAAACGACTACGAACTGTAAGTAAATTATGGCAACCCATTTGACCTTTTTTAAACGACACATTGGTTACAGTCACCAACACCAGTATTACTGCATTATTTTCAATAAACAGTTCTCAACTTATTGTACAGTTCATGAAAGAAAGGGTTCATATGTTTTTTCAGCTTTGGTCGATATTCCTCCGAAATATTCCGAGCATGTCGTTTGGTCGCTGATACTGGACTGCATTACTTCAAGTAAGTAGAATATATGTATGTTTTTCTTATGAAGAATAAAGGTAAAACACACATAATGTGGCATTTGATATCGCGATTCTGGATATATCGGAGGTTAGCAACTAGTACGTCAGTGATTGACCAGCAGTTTTAGCTATCCCACACTCAGGGTAAAAATCTGATTACTGCCCCCCCCCCCCACCCCTCTCAAAACTTTCCTTCTTTATTTAAAATTCTGAATTCGATTTACACGTTTATCTCTCTTCTATCCGTCTATCTCATACCAGTAGTGGCCTTCTTAGACGTATATGGACAGATACAGATATAAAGGGTTGATTTCGATATCATTTAGCTGGACGAAGGAGCACGCTGTTGAACTGTTTGCTAATTACACGGCCAACTCCATAGACGGGATCAAGATAGAGGTGGACCGATATGTCACGTGGCCGGGCCAAGCATGCGCATACAAGATTGGGGAGCTCAAGATTAAAGAATTGAGAAAGAAGGCAGAAGACGCACTAGGTGAGCGGATAAGTCATTTCTCTATTCTTTTAACCAATCTCTCTCCATGTGTCTCTCTCTCTCTCTGTGTATGTGTTTCATTATGAATATGTGTGATTGGAAGAAAGTTAGATCATCTCTATCTCCTTCTCTCTTTCTTTTGTTCACACTCACACACATTTCTTTTTAGTCGCCAGTCACACTCTTCTCAAATCTTACGTATATTCCGGATTACAAAACAGTATCAGTATGAACATGCATGTACCTCCACGTGCACTTTCACGTGCATACAAGTATGCATGCATACATGCGTGGCGTATCCACCTCAACAACAACTTGTGATGTTTTTACATTATACATTATACTTTTCAGGAGCACATTTCGACCTGAAAGAATTCCATAATCGTATTCTGAAGACTGGACCAGTGCCCCTGAGTATACTGGAGACAGTTATTGATGGCTACATCAGGGAGAGCAAACCAACTTCTGAACCGACCAGTGGTGCTTTTTTCATAAATGCCGGGAATATGGTGGCTGTCGTGGTTGTTCTTTGCCATATCACCAAACAGTCCACCGCTTAACACATTTTTGTCCCTTGGAAACATGCTAAAACGGGCTATTTAGACAAATTATTTTCGGGTTCAGGGATAAATAACCTAAGCATGGTTTTATACATGGCTTATTGGCTGTCACAGTTTGAAACCTGTTGTAACTATTGTTATAATAAACTATCGATGGAAATCTAGACGACGTCAAGCTTTATACCCTAAATTGAACTGTAATTTGACCACTTTGGCACAGACGAAACCTGGCTCAATAAATGAAAAACGGAAACGTTGATGGTTCCAACTCGATCGTTGCAGAAATAAACGACGATCTGGCGCGATTCAGAAATTCTTCTTAGAGGTCATATCTTATAGCAAAAGCAAAGGCGTTCACAGAAAGCCTTGAAAACACTTTCTGGTAGCGAATTGCCCCTCATTCAACCAATAATTCTCTGACACACTGCTTCATTCAGTTCACGCACCGCAAAACCTGTCACAAGTGTATACAAAATTTCAAAATATGCTCAGGCGTTGCAAAATATGAAGCTTTATTTTTGACAGAATCATGATATGTCACAATCATACTAGGACCAGCCCAAAAGCTCTATACTATCTGACCTGATCCATGTGATACATAGGCTGTTCTATGTAATGTAATATCTGTACAAGACTAATTGGTAGGTTAATGGCACACTTGGCCTAATTTTTAGGATAAGTTATAATTATAATAACCTCAGCACATATAGACATACCTTTTAAACTAAAATAGTTCATATTCAATGTGAAATTAGTATAAATGTATAACATCGTAGAACAAAATGTTTACAATGAATACCTTGAGTACACGTGCTCATATACAATATAGCATTTATATGTGTGTTCTAATTATGAACTGGATTAATCAAATTTCAAGCGGTGGAGTATGTATTTTGTCTTTCATTTAACAATCCACATGTGTCTGAATAATAAAATGATTAAAATATTCCATCGCACTATATAGACGTGATGATTATACGCAAGCAGTGCGTAAATTGGCTTCGGCAAGGTAAGGGGGCTCGTGAGAGAGCTCGACGACTATTCCAATTGGAATGAATAAACTAATACATAGGTAAAATGCAAAATTTTAGCATTATCTTAGCACAATCCGCACTCGTTAAAGAGTACTGCAAATACATTATTCCACTTTGGCAATAGGATATAACTTTTCGTAAAACATTTGTGAAAAGTGGCGTACAAGCCTACAGTGTTTTTGTTGGCCTTCAGAATCAGTCGACCTGCTTCGTTCGCATGGGGCAGAAAAAAATCAACGTTGGAATCTCGTGGAATGAGGTCTACCAGAGCCTTGAAGAGAACCATGGTTCCGATCGTATCTTCTGCATAGAGGGGTCCAAGGTAGAAACCGTTCCTAGCTGGCCTAATTGATCCGTACCCGACTATCTTTCCCTTCTCCAACAAGACGAGTGATTCTGCCGTCGTTTGGCCAAGCCATAACTTCAGCATTTCTGGTCTTGGTATCACGTGATATGACGTATCATAATCAATGAGATCCGACTGGTCAATATGCCTCACGTCAGATATATGGTATTTGCGTTCTGCATCCGATGGCAGTGGGAAGTTTTTGAAGACGCCGAAATATTTTCCTAGCACGTCTCCTTTAAGGAGCGGAGAGCCAATGTATCTTTCATATGTATCTGTCATATAGGAAATGGAATTAAAATGAATATTTCTGTCGCCATATTCTTCTAAAAATGTTTTTATAATTTGTGCCCCTGAAAGAAAATAAAAACCGCAAACTAAAATCAAAATATGCTTTCTGTTACCAACTTTCTGTAATAATAATAACATAGAGAACTTAAGAACAGCTCTACATGATTCATCTCAGCGTTGTATACAATATTATTTAAAATTGTAAATTACTGGCAAATATTTACGGGCTAAATTGAAATGCCAACGTTTTATACAATCATTTAAGAAATGTTTCGTAGCATGTCTCTTTAGCTGTACTGATTGATATTTGAAGATCTTCTACTAAGTTCATTGGAATTAGAATAAAGTGGGTAATTTTTCTTTTAAATATCATAAACATTTTCAGAAAACTTTTAAGCGATCATTGTCGAACAGATAACAAATGTAGCTGCATGATGAAGGATTGGCAATATCATCCTAATTCTGTATCACGAATACTATGAACATAGGCCCTGTTCACAACCAAGTTGATCCACTGACTAACTGATCCGCAGTTAAATGTTGGCAAGCTATCATATTTGATCCGATCTCTCCCGGATCAACTTGCTTTGAACAGAGTCATAGACTGGGTTCCCATACTTAGATCGATCCATCTGGATCGACCTAACTCCCTGCTATCAGCTCAAGAGGCTTAAATGTCTGTCACGCCTACCGAATCAGCTAGGGGTAAAGATAATTACCCCCTAATAGTTTCACTAGGCTTGACAGACGTTTAAGCCGGTTAGTTTGATAGCAATTTAGTGAGACTCCCCAAAGAGATAGATCGATCCAAATATCTGTGGGAATGGTCCCATAGAAGAATAGTAATCTGCTGTTGAAACATTATCTGTAGCCTCTTAAAATTACGACTACTATTTGGAAATGTGATTCAATGGGAACCGCTGTAACGTGCTTACCAACACCGTGCTTCCGCATTTTCGACGACACTATGAAGTGGCCCACTGTAGTCAGGTCATCATTAAAGTCATGAGCCAGAATGCAACCTTTAAATAAATTAAAAGAGAAAAAAACGCCATCGTTAGTAATGCACAGTTGCATTTTTATATCTGCTTTCTAGCTCATAATTTCAATCACAATTTCAATCATAAATGAAGTTTGACAACTAATGATGAGCTGAAGCTTAGTCTAACTGACGACGTTACCTTTCCCTCTTGGGTACCTCAGCCGCGATCTACTGAAAATAAAGGGGTTCAAATCTATTTTCATCAAAACTTGAATTGTTAGCGCCCAAATTCAATAGGGCCCTACAGGATCCTATAGGATGTCCTATCAGTAATTGGCCAAAATCCTATGGAGTCCTGAAGGACGGCATATAGGGTTTTTAATGAAATTTGCCAAAATGCCTGTAGCGTCATATAAATCACAAATAAAGCATCCTATGGAACGCCCGATAGGAAATTTTCGTAAGGGTGGTCACATTGTAGTTAAGAGCACCGGGATTACAGTTACAATTCAGCAGAAAAACAAAGTTATGCACAGCTGGTATATAGCCAGAGTAATAACTGCGCAGTAATATATGCGCAGTAATATCTGCTGAACATACATGTTATTACATACATGCGGCTCTGTAGCCCTGCGTGCAAGAGTGGAAAGTTAAAATCTTCCAAGCCTGGGCTCCGTAACTCGAAGGCGTTGCGAACTGCGATAGCGATATTACCTTTCATTTCGAGGCTTTTCGAGCATTTTCCCAGCATTTTTATCTTCCTTTCCTGACACTTTCCATAACTATGTAACAATTTTGGAAAAAGAGCAAATATCAAAATCCGCGCTTATGCTCCTATTTCACACAGAGCACGAATCCCACGAATCGCCAGGAATATTCTTAACAGATTCTTATATATTCATAGTCAGTTCTTGCAATTCTTGATAAATCACGAACTGATTACGATTCAATTACGATAAATCAATTGATTGAGGTTATTATTCTGTCAATACACGTTTTAAAAGTTTTATTTGTCTTCAATGGCAATATTCCAACAGTGGAAACAAAGTCAATTTATTCTTTTACTTTTTACAGATATAATTTTGCAATCACTGCATTTTTATCCATCTTCATGGAATGTTCCAGAAGAAAAAAATGACAATAGTATTTTCGAAACGTGTCTGATTATCTATATGCAATGACTGAGCATTTTGTTCTCAATCCCAGAACTTATACAATAACAGTTCTGTAAGACCTCGCCTCTTTCTTCCTTTGTTAATAATTACAGTTCAAATATTAAACCAGAAAAATGTGCCGCATCAAATGGCCCATGCTTAGCGACCTACCAGTATCTTTGTATGCCCTTCGCGTGATGCACAAGACTTTTAAACTGATAAAACACACGACACGCATATTATTACCTAGGATTACAAAGAATAACGGTGCAACTCTTTTACATCTACCTGTAAACAACTGAGGAAGGTCACAGGATAGTGATAAAAATATTCTAGAACTTTTTCTCCGTTCCCCTTTGAAATTACATTGTGATCCCCTAAAAAGCAGCTCATAAAACGACCCATATGTATATTACTTCTGTCTACTGTGATAATTGTTTACAAAAGCGAGGATAAAGAGCATATGTCTTTTGAAAATGTTCATGCAAAAAAAAATATATATATTTCAAGATCATATAATACACGAAGGACTACATAAAACCAATTTTGCTGTATGAATAAGAGAGCAAAACAAACATATAGACTATAACAGAGCTGAAGGAATTCTTTTCTTACAAACATAACCAAACCAACAACCAATCCTTAAAGTTTGAATATTATTAGACTGAAAAACTCACCCACTGCTTTTCCGTCCTTTTCTGCGATAATCCAGCCTTTTTCACTTATTTTAAAATAGGTCTCAATCATGTCTTGATGTGTATTCCACGTGGCTTCCTCTGTCAGTTTCCATACCCCAGGGATGTCTTCTTTTCTCCCTCGGCGTATGAGAAGCCCGTGGCTTCCCTCCATATTCCAAGTGAAGGCCCGCCGAGGCACAGGCACGGGACCCGCGAGTCTGCAAAATGGATCTAATACTGTAGGCAAACGTTCACCGTACTTAGTACTACAAAGCCGTGAAATCATCACACGTCTTCCTACCACAGGCGCCAACATTCCTGTTATCATCTTTGTCAAGTAATTTCTGGATTGCTGTATGGTCTTAAGTTGTTTAGAAATATGTCCCGTCCAGCAGTGTGTTATGAGAACGCCTGCAGGTCTTTTATCCGATGTGTGTTAAGGACAAAGGGTGCGGGTGACAGCGAGGCCAAATTGGGGCCAGGCCAGGCACGTGCACTGCAGTAGTAGTTTATGTTCTTGTAGGTGTGGCAACATAAGCAAAAAAAAAAAAAAAAAAAAAAATGCTCTATCAAAAAGCACACAAACGTACACAGCGCTTATTACTGCTGCTGATAATTAAATAATACAAGTAGATACTGGGTGTACGCTTTGTGCATAAAATCTTCAACAAATTTCACGGTGCCTTCACAAAGCTCGTGTGCACTATTAAATTTGAGGTCATACTGCTCTCTTAGTTGCTTAGTCGTAGGGCATTCAAGTCCAACTTGCCTCTCCGTTTGCATTGATATCCAGCAAACAAATGGTATCCCCTCTCTAGTGATACGGGCCAGCGCCCAGTCTCTATATATGCCTGGTTGTGACAAGGTGAGAAGACGTGTGAAGTTAGCCTCTGATACTCCGGGATATTGGTGTTTTGCTTGTAAACACTATGAGCTGACAACTAAGGATTTGTTTGTCTCTTGATATGCAGTAAACTTAGATCCACTTTTTAATGAAATTGATTCCTTAAATTACATTTTCCACTTTACCTCTGCTCTGCAGATTACAATTAACTTGTTATAGCCTATATATATTTGAAGGCTTTTGTTTTACTAGTTACACAGAGGTTCCATACAAAATTGAAAGGGTAATTCAAAAACCCTCTCCTCTGAGAAATAAATTTTGATAATTGCGCCCTTTGGGCTGCTCTAACATGGAATATTAACATTGGCAATTAAACAAATCAGGTTAGGAGAAGTGCTCCGTACTCCCAGGTGAGTTTTGACGGCCATCATATACAGTACATAGCCTCTACATACTTTTTTTTGCTTAATCAATTACCTAGCCAAGACTCACAGCTATATAAGATCACCGGCAAAAATTGCCACTTCAAACACTTTTCTTTTGAAAATCTACATTTTTTCAAGAATGCAACAAATATCCACACATGGCATTTCTTTTGTGTACAACGGTTATCAAGCGTCAGGTCAATTTCCAAAGCTTTCAAACACTTCTTTTAACCTACAGCTCTTTGCGTCGACAGTCTTTGGTTCTTCTGTCGCTATGCCTCGCTCTTTTACCCCAATTTTTTTTTTGCATCCGTGCACGCCAACGACAGCACTGTGCCTGACCCACCCGCCTACCGTATATACGTTTTACTTCTTATAGTAATAAAATACAATTTTCAGAAATCATATCTAGCAACAAAATACTGCATTGAACACCCCAGCATTCGAATTCGAACCCACGTACATGTACAAGGGTATACCTGTGTTTAAGACAGCGGATTTACCAGGGAGCCGCAGGAGCTTCGTTTGTAGGTTTTACATCAAATGGAAACTACCTTGTCACGCAGAGGGCCAGTTTGGTTGTACATGTTTACATCTGCAATAATAATCGATAGCCCGGTGCCGTATAGATGTATTTCATCTCGCGCAACGCCAGTCTCCGAGCATGTTTTTTTTTGCATCCGCGCACGCCAACGACAGCACTGTGCCTGACCCACCCGCCTACCGTATATACGTTTTACTTCTTATGGTAATAAAATACAATTTTCAGAAATCATATCTAGCAACAAAATACTGCATTGAACACTCTAGCATTCGAATTCGAACCCACGTACATGTACAAGGGTATACCTGTGTTTAAGACAGCGGATTTACCAGGGAGCCGCAGGAGCTTCGTTTGTAGGTTTTACATCAAATGGAAACTACCTTGTCACGCAGAGGGCCAGTTTGGTTGTGCATGTTTACATCTGCAATAATAATCGATAGCCCGGGTGCCGTATAGATGTATTTCATCTCGCGCAACGCCAGTCTCCGAGCATGTTCTTATCACCATCGTTAAGTTCTCGATGTACCCGAGGCCTTGTTTGAGAAGCCAACACGGAGCGTTTCTAGATGTTTTTTTTTTTGTTTTTGTTTTTTCTGAGACTTCGTATTGTGTTAAGATTTAGCTTGGTTTCACGTATGACGTTAAAGAGCACAATGGGATGAAATGCAGCCCACACTGGGACGGTTTTAGTTTAAGGAAGCCTTATAAGAAGAATCATTTCAAAACGTTCAAACGTGTAAAAGCAATTGCAACGATGCGAAGTTTGAGAAAACATATTTGGCAAATAATTCTGCAAAGACGATACAAATTTTGTCTGCTGAACGCGATATACAGTTTGGAAAGACAGGTGCAGGATTTGAAGGGGGGGGGGGCAGGTCGGTGTTTTTTTTTACGAATGACAGACTTTGGATTCGAAGCCGACCTCGGTCCGGTTGCGGTGGGTTTTGGGGCCCGCCGAAGGGCTCCAAAATATTTTGGTGTTTTAAAGGTCACACGGTGTTACTTGAAACGGTTAAGAACTATGAGCAAGTTAAAACTCTAATTTCAATAGGGGAATATATGTGTGATTTTTTAGAAACCGAAGGGGGGTCATTACCCCCGACCCTCCCTCTAAACCCGCCACTGACCTTTTCTTATGACACAATAACCTGTATGGCAATGTCTATCTCTTTCGGGAGATTTTGGCACAGCAAAACATTTCTGTGACACACTGCTTCATTCAGTTCACGCACCGCAAAATCGGTCATAAGTGTATGCGAAATTTCAAAATATTATTTATTTTTGACGGATCATGCTTTGTTGCAATCATACTAGAACGGGCCCAAACGTTATATACTATCTGACCTGATCCATGTGATACATAGGCTGTTCTATGTAATGTAATATCTGTACAAGACTTATTGGTAGGCAAATGGCACACTTGGCCCAATTTTTAGGATAAGTTAAAATTACAATACAGTCAGCACCTATAGACATACCTTTTAAACTAAAACATTCCACATTCAATGTGAAATCAGTATTAATGTATAAAATCGCAGCAAAAATGTTTACAATAAATACCTTGAGTATATGTGCTCATATACAGTATAGTATTTATCTGTGTGTTCTAATTATGAACTGAATAAATCTAATTTCAAGCGGTGGAGTATGCATTTTCTCATATATATACACTGTATTACAATGCACATGTGTCTGAATAATAAAATGATTAAAATATTCCATTGCACTATATAGCATGATTATTTACAATACTATTCTAACCATTGGTTGTTTAATATAGAACACTTTGTGATAGGATTACCATTTTAAAAAGGCATATGACTGCCAGCCTCAGTAATGAATTATAATAGTCACTGTTTATCCATGCAGCTTTTTCATTGAAAAATTGTCAAAATTAGATAATATGCAATAAGTGAAAGTATCAGGATGCCATTCAATTTTGACAATATCAAAAAGTCCTCGGTGATACTATAGTACATTGTTTTAACATTAAAATCATTTGGCCTCTTATATAAATTGATTTACAGTCACAACAATGTGCAATGGAAGAATATAATCAGCAAACAACCAAAAGATGTATGAACAAACTAGGAAAAAGACAAAATGCATAATTGCAGCATTTTTTAGCACAATCCGCACTCGTTAAAGAGTAATGCAAATACATTATTCCACTTTGGTAATGGGATATAACTTTTTGTAAAACATTTGTGAAAAGTGGCGTGCAAGCCTACGGTGTTTTCGTTGGCCCTCAGAATCAGTTGACCTGCTTCGTTCTTATGGGGCAGAAAAAAATCTACCTTGGAATCTCGTGGAATGAGGTTTATCAGACCCTTGAAGAGAACCATGGTTCCGATTGTATTTTCTGCATAGAGGGGTCCAAGGTAGAAACCGTTCATAGCAGGCCTGATTGATCCGTACCCGACTATCTTTCCCTTCTCCAACAGGACGAGTGATTCTGCCGTTGTTTGGCCAAGCCATGACTTCAGCATTTCCGGTCTCGGTATCACGTGATATGACGTATCATAATCAATGATATTCGGTTGGTCAATGTGCCTTAGGTCAGATATATGGTATTTGCGTTCTGCATCCGGTGGGAGGGGTATGTTTTTGAAGACGCCGGAATATTTTCCTAACACATCTCCTTTAAGGAGCGGAGCTCCAAGGTATCTTTCATATGTATCTGTCATATAGGAAATGGAGCTAAAATGCATATTTCTGTCGCCATATTCTTCTATAATATGTTTCATAATTTGGGCCCCTGCAAGGAAAAATAAATAAATAAATAAATAAATAAATAAATAAATAAATAAAAGTCTCAAGCTTAAATCAAAATATGCTTTCTGTAAGCAACTTTAAGCAATAATAATAACAATAATAATAATAATATTAATAATGAGAACTCCTCTCATTCCTCATGCCCGACGCAAGCCGACCCTGCGGGGGCAGATCAATTAAATGTTGGCAAGCTTTCATATTTGATCCAATTTCTCTCGATCAGGCTTAATTCGTCCGCTGATCAATTTGCTTTAGAACAGAGTCAGAGATCAATAATAATCTGCTGTTGAAATAGACATTAACTATAACCTGTTAATATTACGACGACTATTTGGAAGAGTTCATTTATTGTAACTTGCTTACCAACACCGTGTTTCCGCATTTTCGACGACACTATGATGTGACCTACTGAGGTCAGGTCATCATTAAAGTCATGAGCCAGAATGCAACCTATAAAGAAATTAAAAAAGAAAAAAACACCATCATTAGTAATGCACAGTTGCATTTCTATCATATCTGCTTTCAAGCTCATAATTCCAATCATAATTCCAATCATAAATGAAGTTTGACAACTAATAATGAACTGAAGCTCAGTCTAACTGACGTCGTTACCTATCCCTCTTGGGTACCTCAGCCGCGATCTACTGAAAATAAAGGGGTTCAAATCGATTTTCCTAGTTGACCTTTCTTTCAGAATTTGAAAGAATGCCGCAAAATGCTTTTATATTTTTAAGTACACTAAATCTCATTTGATTATTTGACCTATTTTACTTGCATCCGAAACAGTTACCACGCATAACCAGCGCCACATGTAGTTCTGTAG